GAAACTCACTTCCTTTTTTATATGATACTATAGAAAAAAGGAAGAAAAAAAATTATATCCGGTTTAGTCGACTTTTTCTTTTCCTGACTTCTGCAGCCGCTGACATTTTTCAAAAGGAATTTTTTGTCTCTTTTTCACTTTTTCTTTTCTCCTCATTCGATCATTTTGTTTGCTTGCCGTTTGTTAAATTGCCCAGCACTTACGGTTGTACAACCAAAGGCGCATGCATCCTATGTACACTCATATGGTGGAGGCATTAGCATTTGTTTACTCTCAATGGTGTTTGGTTTTTTTCGTATCATCCACGTATAAAGGAAAGCCAACGAAAATCGAAAAGAGCCCATATGTGCAGTCGAATTTTTCGACAGAGATACACCAAGAATGTATGTTTGCATTCTGTGTATATGCTCACAGATGTACAATGTTTCCAATTTAGCACCTTGATTTGTTCGCCTTAATTCTTGTAATGCAACCAAGGAAAATGATACCATATCCACAGAAAGAGAGAGCGAGTAAGAGAGAAAGAAGAAGAACAGCATAGAAGAAACATAAAGAAATAGAATTTTAAAAAAATCACCATACGCTGCTCGCTCTCTATGTGAGCATATGCATAAGTTGTCTTTTCTGCAGGATCATTGTGTACACATCGATCGAATGTCGAAGAGCATATGAAATGTTTGTGTGTTGTTTTGGTATCATTAGTGAAGGTGTAGACATCCAGAAGGCCGAAGAGGAAAACAAAACTTTCATAACTGTTCTTTTTTTATTTTATTATAGCAGGGGGAAGAATATTGTCAATTGCTGATAAAAAAAGAGTCGAATGAGCGCTCAATACGCTGAAGTGCAAATTCAATATTAAATTGAATAAATCTAGGGTAATACGGGATCATATTTGACGATCGACTTTTTTCCGAGCCAAGAGTATGTTTTTTGAGAACAGACTGTGAAGCTGATGAAGCCTGAAGGTGTTGGCGTTTGCATATGTCGTTTTCTTTGAATAGAAACAAAACTCATAAATACTGCTGCAACGCATCAGCAGCAGTTCTAGAAAAACAAAAGGTCAGCTGGATGAGAGATGAATTCAGTATCATTTTTCTTCGACTCATTTCTTCTTATCTCTGTTTGATTTTTGTTTAGTTTCTTCATTTTCTGTGTCTTTTTCTTTTTTACGATGCATTCTAACATCAAATGAGAACAAAAAAAAGAGAGAATCATCTTGATTTTTTTTCATTCTTTTTCGTTTTTTTTTGTTCTCTTTGCAATAACATTATGCGTGCACACCTTTGCCGGTTGGTCGCAGTTTCGAAGGGCGAGATGATCATGAGGGTAAGTATTTGTTGTGGTTTTGTTCAAAATGAACCACAAAATCGAAAGCCGAAATGAAAATATTCGCAAGGCAATTGTTCAATATGAATTGGAGCGATAGTATGAAAATCGAATGGTGATCAACATAGTGGTAAAGCCGCACCTGTCACGACGCTTGGTCACAGTGCTCGACTTCGAGCCAAGTCCAGAAATGATGTTCCATTTATGTTTTACTTTCTGTGCTTGTTTCAGTTTCGTATTAATTCCAAAGCATTAATTGATGCCGATACATATTCTAAATGGTTCGACGCGTGACACGTGTCTGTCAGACTGATTATACACCATTAAATTGAATGCATCTGCTGTGCTACACACGCCGTTGCGTGTATGTATGGACGAGTGAGTGTGTGTGTGTATGTTTGTATTTATGTATTACCTTATGCATACATTTCAAGCACGACGAGTGGCAAATGGGAAATACGTGAATGACATGGTGTTTGGTTAACGCGCTTCCACTCTACTTTGTGGTTCTTTCTTCTTAGCCAGAAGACTTATGGTAATTTCCTTCTTGTTCCTTTCATCTTCTTCTGTGTTTCCTTTCTCTCTTTCCTTATTCGTCTGCAACAATCGTATCATTGACAAAGACGATGACGGCTTCTGTGAACATCTGAATATGCAAAAAATTATTCAATGCATACAGTGCGCGTATATTTTTGTGTATAATTGATAAGTTGTTTGCGCTAAAAAAAAATTTGGAGATGCAAAATAAACATATGCAGCCGTTTGTGAACATAGCCGGATCACAATGTGCGATCGACGTCTGTTTTTTTTTTCTTCTTTATTGCATTCGTTTTTTTACGTTGACAAAATGCTTCTTGTTGCCGGTTTTTGTTTGTAATTAAAATAATTATTGTAGATTGTATGAAACGAAAAAAATATTGCAAAGAAGTATACGAATTGCGTTGTACATGTTATGATGTGTCGGCATCAGCATCAACTTATGGATTTCTATACAATACTTGAACGAGCGCACATAATGTGATTTCATGGTTCAATTTTCCAAAATAAGAGCGCCTTTATGCCTTGTTTATTTAGGTTTCTTACATTTTATGTTCGTTTTCTGCTTACTCTGTGCTCAGTTTTGCATGACTCAAATTCTGTATAATGCCACCAACATTGCAATGCTTGTGACAAATATTGTCATCTAATCGTCAAAAGGTTTCATTTTATCGTTCCACATCGATTACGTCGGCTAGATCTAAATAGATGTCGGTTCGGGAGGTCCTTTGAAAATGTCTCATGTACTTTATTCGTAAAATCAAAAGTCCAATCATCAAATATCTTATCACGCAAAACCGACCACATTCCAATGATGGTGACAATGAAACAAAAGCGTATCGTAAACGCTTCACATATTTCATTTATATACGTATGACCCAAGCTACACTCCAATATGCTAAAATGTGATCGTAAAACGTTCAGCCGCCGCGATTTTATGTGCACACTCGGCGACAAAATCGTTATAATTATGATTAATCAATGAACTCATTATCAGAACACATTGCATTTTCTTTAAGTATTTTTGCATGATTTTCGGAAGGCGGCTGCCGTTCGGGTCCATTTAATAAAATTGATTGGAAAACTGTATGTGAATGAGTGTGTTTGTGTGTGTATGCGGTATAAAGCAAACGAGTGCATAATCATTGCTTGATATCGACATGTACGCGGAAAGGACGCGTGCAAGCTGAACAAATTCACATTTAGACGTTGATATGTTCATATGCAGTTGTTGGAGCATTTGGATTTTTCTTGTTTTTGTTTTTCAAGAAAGAAAAAAAGCAGATGCTATTTTCCCATTTGTTTTTACTTTTTTCATTCCTTTTTTTTGGTTCATTTGTAAAAAAATGACGATGTTTTGAATGAGTTTTGCCAAAAAAGATGTTTTTTTTCATTTGTTTCTTCTTCTTCACATAATTGTGTGTTTTTTCGGTGTTTTTCTAGCATAATGCGAAACATATTGAGAGAGATGTTTTTTTTTGCATTTTTCTAACGAAATCGTTCACCAAAAATTAACATGATTGGGAATTTTCCCGACTGTGTCAAAATTTTTCCCATGAATGTGTATTCCGAACGAAAATGATGCTGAGTTCGAAAGTTCATACCTTGAACGATCGCGTGGGCAAGTATTCCTTTTTTTATTAGTAACAGATGGGAAATTTACTCAAAAAAAAAATAACAACTCTTCAAATATGTAATTAAGTAAATTGTTCAGTGACATCACATACCGTCTACAGTATGAGAGCAGTAAAATGATTTGTTTATGCTTGGATTTTCCCACTAGTAAAAAAAGTAAATAAATTTTTTTTGGTTTAAATGAGATTCCCTTCTAAGTAAATGATTTCCTTTCTGGTATTTGCATGTGCATGTCAGACTGATTAGTCTAGAGAAGTGTGCGCATGTTCCTAATTAAAAGCCATAAACCAAAAGAGAAATAGAAATCTTTCAGTGTTATCACTCTAGAAAGAGTGGAAGAGAGGAAGACAGAGAAACCCAAAAATTCCCAAAGAAAATATGAATAAAGCAGAAGATGAGAAACCCCACTACGCATCTATTGTTTGAGTACGCATGACCAACAAAAGGTGATCGTGTGCTGGGCTGTGTGTGATGTGACTATATCAATTCACAAAGAAAGAAGAAAAAAAAAAGACAACAACACCAAAAGTTCATGAAATAAAACACCGTAAATGAATAAATGCTTAGACTTCTGCCAAAACACACAAATTACATCTTGGAAATCGACGAATCCAAATCCCGAACGGCATACGAACACCGGTTAATAGGCGATTGAAGAAAAAAGAAAGAAAATACCTTTCGATGAAGAAGACGAATACCCGCATACGAATTTCTCATTTCATTTCATAATTGAAGACATTTGAATGCTTTTTGGTTTACTCAATGCTTCTCTCATATTGATGGTTGATGTTTCATACGTTTCTTTCACTTCATCGTCATCATCATCATAGTTTGTGATGCTTTGGCATTTTTTTATACCTTGTTCATTTACTCTTTGCTAAAAACCCGGCATTTCATTCGTACACAATGAAGTAGCGCCGTTTTGCCATGTGTTCACAGGCCATACGCAGCATAAACAATAGTAAGACCGCTGCAATCAAAAGCGATCGGCAACAAATATGAATTGTCGACTAACGAAAAGTGTGTGTATGAGAATGTTGAAGCAGGCATGTTTCAACACAACCGACTTCAGTCCATTGCGCTTTGATTGTGTGAGTGTGACTGTCTGTCTGTCTGTCTCTCTGTGTGTATGTAATGATGATGATGTTGACTGGGTTTGTGTGAATGCAGCTGTACGCAAAAGGCGCACCAATGTTCATTCGTTATGCGCACCAATGTTCTTGTCATCAGACATACACTCAGCTCTTAAATACACACATCTATGCATACCATTCACATACACGCGCAGCACCTACCGTATGTTATAATTTTGCCAGCAGGCTTACACACAGACACATAAGTACACATCTACAGACACACAACCATTGCCGTAAAGCAGATGACAGACGTTGATGTTGTGTGTAAGAAATTTCTCGGTGAAGAGTACGCTCTTTGGTGTATTTGCTCGTGCCGAAATGTAATTTAGTTTTTCAGTTGCAATCAGTTATCTGACCGAAACGGATGGTCTTCGTCATTTTTTCCGATCGAAAATTCAAACATAAAAATATTATTTTATTCATTTGAATCAGTTATTTATTTAGAGAACTTTTTTTTTTTCTTCTGTTAATATCGTTTTGATTTTTTTTCATTTTCGTTGCCTCCTGCACCAGTGCACATTTGCGTTCAGTTTTTTTAAAAAAATTTGTTCCCATTTTTTTTTTTCGCTTAAATTTGGCAATCATTTTTCGCATTTAAATGTTTATTAAAACATCAAAGAACTGTTGTACTAGTGATAATAAAAAATGTCATTGTAAAGATGAAAGTTCGTTCTCACCCATAAAGAGTAAAATGAAGGTTTTGAAGAAAATCAAGCGACGCATGGGATTAGGTTTGTATTTATTTCCATTTCATTTTACAAAGTTTTTCTTCTTTTCGCTACACATCGAAGAGTCGCCTCGTTTTGTTTTATTAGAGAAAGAGTACTGAACATTGGTTTATTCATACCAGACGATGGCTCATTTTGACAGCTATATTTCTATTCGAAATCGGTTTGCATGTGAATGCGTGCAAGTGCGAATTACATGAATTTCAACCTATTACTGTTATTTATGTGGTGTACATGTGTTTGAATGCGTTAAAAATGTCCGCAAAGTAAAAAAAAGAACTGAAACTAAATTTCAATGCATTGATTCATTGACTTAACCCGGTGTAATTGAGTTGAACTTTATCAAATGCCATAAATTATAGTGCAGTCTAGTACAGTGGAATTGTCGACCGGCTTACAATAAATTTATTGTGATGTTTTTTTCGCTTCGTATTTAGAATGAAGTCTTGCTCATTTTCGACCGTTTGTATGATTCTTTTGTATTGCGGTCTCATGTCTCGACTCAATTCGACTCTGTTGTCATCTTTTTTTGTTGTTGTTGGTTGCGAACAAAATAAAAATCGATAGTTGAACGAACGTTCGTAAATACACACGGTATTTTTCGCAAGAGTGTATGATACTCTCCATATTCACTTTCTCTATTTTTGAAAATGCCAAAATCATTTATCAATGGAGCGACAAAATGTTGGACAAAGTACGTCATGGAATCGCGTTGATGATTTTATAATGATATGACAAAAATCGCATCATTCAAACGAAAAAACAACCCAAAAATGGCAAATGAGAACGAAGCCTAATATTATAACAGAGTATATGACGACAAACCATCATGTCTGCATTGTTACGCATCATTTATTAGTTACTTTTTTTTGCTTTTCATTCGATTACAGTTTAAACTAAATAGCTTCAATTGATAGCATTAATGCTTTCTATGGTATCAGTGAAATGCGTACGACGAAAGTGCTAGCAACCGCATGAGGTGCTAAACAAATTACAAATAATCATAAGAAACTTTAAAAGGTGACTGTGACTAAGTGAAGTACAAGAGATAAAAAAAAATAATTAAAAAGAACGTGATATGCAAATACATCATGCTTGCTCACTGATATAAAACAACAACAACAACAACACAAAACTAACAACAAAAGAAACACCACACACATTTTTCGTTGTTGTTAATGATCTTTATAAAAAAAAGTATAAATAGCAGCGACACTGCGTTGTTCAACAGCAAAACTATTTAATCGCACTATTTTAATATACTCCTATTTGGTTTCTAACAAAACTGCTGAATATAAATATATTCCTCCATTGCAATGCAATTAGAAATAAACTCAAAACCACAACTATTGTGACGACATCTCATCGTTCATTTGCCTATTTACACACACCTCTTGCTCCCTCTCTCTCTCTCTCTCTTTCTCTCTCTCTCTCTCTCCGTATCTCTTTCACTCTGTGTGTATACAAAAGATACGCTGTAAGCAAAAGATTATACAAAAATAAATATCGACAAATTTTACATGAAATAGTTGATCATACAGCTGTTATATGTTAAAAGAGCATTTTATATGCATATATCTATTGTACTGAATGCATTTATTCATTTACTGATTTCGCTAAAATGATCAGCCGTTTTCACTTATAAATATTTCCCATGCTTGATCGACGATTCTTTGCATGCGATCACATTCTATACCAACGCTTTCATGCAATCGCGTTGGTAAAATGAATCAAATTCGCACACTCAATTAACAACAAAACCAACAACACATTCAACGTGTTACAATATTTATTTTTTGTAAATCTTATAACGATCTTGAGTTCAAAAATTCATTTCTTTTGGTTATAGCTAAAATCTTCGTACATTTGATTTTGTTGAGCTCCAAATATCCGTAGCACATAGAAAATGCGTCCCTCTGTTATGGCAAGGAAAAAAAGGTCTAATGCTCAAAATTAAAACATCTGCCATCGCCGATTTCATTTGCTGCCTAGCAGTTGTTTTTTCTTCGATTCTTTTCTCGTTATTCTACGGCTGCACTCATACACACATACATCTGCATTTTGGTTTTTGGTAGTTCAACAAAAAAAAAAGAGAACAAGCTGCAAAATGTATGTATATATCGATGTATGAGTGCATATGTTCTTCATATATTGAATCGAAAAGTAAAAAGTAAAGTCTCGGTGTTAAATCAGAGGGGAGAGAAAATACATTTTCAATGTGTCGTTGTTTCACCCTAAAATTCCCATTTTTGGCCGTTATTCACTGTGCTTATAGAATTAAAATGAAATGAATAAACGACAAACCATTTGATTTAAACTGTATCTCCAACGTTTTATTTCATCGAATTGACCATCAGATGTTACATTTATTCATTTTCTTTTCGAAGCTTATCGCTAACAATGTTCGATTATTGACGATTATAATCGATCGATGTCCATCTGTGGACAACTTTGTATCGATGGTCAGCATTGGTCACTTTATTTTGTTGCAAGATGCATACACTGTATTTGGCAAATAATTATGCAGGTGCCGATAATTGGTGCGCTATTACTGCAATCATTCGCAGTGAATGAAATGCGATCAATACAGAGGAAGTAAATGTTCGAAACATTTTCAAAACACCCGGTATTTAATTGACGCACTCTCAAAATTACTACACAAATGAGACAGACACACATAAAACAAAAATGTGCAGCGCAATAACAGCTTCCGAATGCATTTTTTCAACTTCATCCTTTTTTGGTGCATCCTGAGTGTGACGCACACACACAAACATAGAGAGAGAGAGAGAAAGAGGAGAAACAGAGAAAACATTGATCGATGCATCATCATGTTACGACCCCGTTTTAATTACACGACATGCTTAAACCGAAAAATCTTTTAATTCTCTGTCAATCTTTCTGGCACTCTAGAGAGTCATTTTCCGTTTAAAAGTGTGCACATAATATCGTTTGGGAATTTGTCATATGTTGTTTATTTCGTCTATCTCTTCTTTTCAAGATCAATTCACATGTGTTTGCGTAGGCCGCATATTTTGCAAAATGTTTTTAGTTGGGTTTTTCCCATTTTCATTATGAATAAAACCACGAAAAGACCCTTCTTCTTTCTTTTTGAAAATAAATTCGAAGAACAATTCCAACATCTGGCGTTGAATAAAAAATTTACATTTGGCTCAATGTTATTTTGTTCACTCTTTTTATGGTTTTGTTTGATTAGTAGAAATGCTCGCGCAATGCTTATCGCTTTTATAAGCGAAAGAGAGTGAATTACACCACAAAATGTATTCACCCGCATAATAATAATCCGTGGAATAAACCGATGATGAAGAAAAAAAACGCAACATAGCCCAAATCTTGATAGTTCGTTCCATCGAAAAAAGTGGAAGGGTGAGCGACCGCAAAGGTGTCAATTAATATAGATTCGCTACGGATCAAACAGAAATATTTGTTTATTTATTGTTTTTTTGTTTGCGTTATGTTTGTTCAATTCTTGTTATCTTCACGCTTGAATAAAACAAATTCTTGTGAAAATCAGTCAGCGAACTGAAAATTGATTGACATAGTTGTGAATATCTATCGAATAAGCACATTTCTGTTTTACCATTATGATAAAGAAACGAACACAAAAAAAAACACCCATCACTTCAAACGAACACGAACATTGAAAACAATTCAGTTTCAATTGAAATTTAGTTCATGTTTCGCCAACGCCATCATTTAATGCTCCGATAAAACAGGAAACGTACGTAAGTATGATTTCCGCCACAAATACACACACATTCGGTGTGCGGTTTTATTTTGATCGCCATACGCATATTCCAAATCGAGATATGATTTTTTTTACAAAAAAAAAAGAAACACAAACCCATTGAATTCTTAATGTGTTCAGTGCAATTCATTAATTATATGCCATAGTGTATGTACTCGATGCAATTGACCAATATAAAATATGATAATGAAACGATCATGCACACATTCGCACACATAAAATTGCGCACCGTTAACCACAAATGGTAAGGTCTACTATTTGAGCGGTACTTGAGTGCTCTGCTGATACGCCGGCCATTGTAATTGCCAATTCATTTGAAAGAAGGTGAAGCCATGAAATAACAACAGCAAACTTTAAAAATAGAGATGGACTGTTCGGCATAGCATGACTGTTATGAATGTAATCTTCATTTTGCGGGGTAAAATAATGATCACATACATGAAACATATAATTTGCCGCAGGCTTAAATTCCCATCAGCCAAAAAAACAACAACAACAACATAAATGACGTTCATCAGACATAACATAAATTTGTCATCCGAAATTCACCATTTGATGTCATGTTCTAATTGTCATTACATCGTTTTATTAAAAAAAAACAAAGTCCGAATATTGTGTTTGACACGAATGAAATGCAAAATGTTGCGTCAGTGTGTGTGTTTTTGTGAATGTGATGTGCACGTAACATCGAAGTAGAAAAAAATCGGATCGACATCAAAAACAAGGGAGACGAACATAGTCAAAAAAAAAAACATATAAAACACGCAGCTGTTGCTTTTCATTTTCTGTTTTTCAATGTACACCTTTTTAGCATTCATATGTGTTCGATGAACAGAACGCATTCAGGGCAATGGCTGCATTGAATAAACTCAGCTATGATAATCGAACAGCCCCTATTCAATGCAAACGCACACACGCTCACACTCTTTCTTATGGTTAACTCTCCCATATCTACGGGTTTAATGTATCTGCATGCAATAGCAACAACAAAAAAGAGAAATCTTTTCAATGGACTTAGCTTATTCTTCTCTCTTGATTGTAGAAATGCAACCATGTATTCACATTATGTTTACATCATTTTCATTTTGTATGGCCAAGAAAGAATAACCGATATATACATCAAATCATACATTTTTTTTGTCAAAACAATGTTTTGCGCACTTTTATTTTTGTTCTTCTTTCGATTCGAAATTGTTACAAGATTTTTTATTTTTTGTCGCATTTCGTTAAAAAATAAATAATTATTATTTTGATGTGTCATTGTCACCGATCATTGTGCTCAAAAGTTCATCGTGGCAATTTTCCCATCCGAAAAAAAAGAAATCATATCAACTCACAACATGAGCATCTTTTCTACCTCGATTTTCAATGTGATTTTTCGAGTTTGTTTCTTTGTTCATCTTCTTTATTATATGAACGCTTGAATATTGTGTTGGTGTATCCCTTAAAGGTGAAAACATTGTTGTCGATCGTCGAACATCTGGACAAAAATGTTTATTATAGAATAAAAATTTTGTTTTGTTATTTCTGCTGAAAATGTCGGTTTTGTTCGAAATACATTTTATGAGCTTGAAAATCAATTCGTTTCATTGATTCGACAGTGTGGGAAAGAAAAAGCAAAAAATGTGTCACCAAGAAAAACAAAAATCCAACGTTGTATGCATCGAATATCATTGAATTACTTTGATCGGTCATCGAACGTGCTTGGTCACCGATTATTTTTTTATATAAACTTCTTTCAAGTTCATAATGATATATTTTCTAGAAAAGATACGGTGACCGATATGTTACAGTGTGTCTGTTAATCAAACATTAAAATGATACTTCATGACGCACAACGGAATACATTCATGTCATTCTGCATTAGTTAGCAGATAAAATAAAAATTTATTTTGAAGATCAAGAACGGACAGATCAAAATAAAAACGAGATTACAAATGCAAAACCATAACACAGGAAAACGACGCACAAAAAAAAACATACACAAGCAGGAAAACAGATCACGCCAAACTAATTTTTTCAAGGTAACACGTGCAGAAAAAAAAACAAGCATCAAAACGGCAAGAGTCCGCATATCGAAATGAGTGATGTCGTGTATTTTAAATGTGCGAGTCTAGCATAAAGTTTGTGTTAGATCATCATAAGTGCGAGATAAAAACAAAACATATATTCTTCTTTGTTAAGATTAAAAATAATGAACGAAAAAAAAGACCTACGCTGATATAAGCATACAAAGGTTTCTAGTGGTTTCGGACTGTGGTATTCAAATGATCAGCGTCGCCTTGTTGCTGTCACTGACATAATCCAATTTATATGATATGTTCGGTTTTTTTTTTGTTGTGGCGTTCCGGCACCCATGACACATTCCGTATCGCACGACGTACAATGTGAATTCGTGTCTTCACATTCATTCAACTGTTTCTCATGTGTAAAATTGAAATTTGTAATGAATACAATAATCTGGTTGTTCACTGTGTGTTGAAAATCATTTTCCGTGGCTTTCACAAGATTCACTCTAAAAAGCGATGGCTTTTAATTTATCTGTTTTTATTTTCTTCATATTCTCTTCACAAATTAATGAAGAAAAAAAATGAAGAAAATTAAAGTGAAAAAAAAACACATGAAGCAAAACATAACAAGAGCATAACGATCTTCAATTTTCATGTTTTCAAGTATGTGAAATTAGATAAATTTTCTGTATTGATTTTCATCATATTTCGTTTGCGATCGCTTACATCACATGAACAATAAATATGAAGAACAACAGCAACAACCTAACAACAAAGCTACGTACGACATTCAAATGGGATCGGTCCCAAAGAGAAAGAAGACGAGAGAAAATGAAACGCATTTCAAAGCATTTGAGTGTGCATTACTCAGAAATTGTAGTTGCATTGAATGAAAGGCATTGGCTCGTGAAGAGAAAATAAAAGAAGAAACTAATGGTAATGATAATGCACGAATTTCAGGAAAAAAAATATATATACACCAAAATGGGGAGAAAAGAGAATTATTTTCATGCGCGCTCGACTACCACATTGAAAACTATAACTTATTCTCTTATTATTCCATTTACTTCATGCTCTTTGATTTCTGATGCGATGTCGTGAGCACTGATCATGTTCGGCAGAAGACGAGTATGCATTTAAATACGCTCTCTATTCTTTGTGTTGTTGGCCATTCCAACGGTTTGCCGCTTCTGTTTACCTTTCTGATGTCTTCATTTTTTTTCTTCTTCTCCATCAATTTCTAATGCGGTGTTGTTGTTTTCTCAGTTGTATGTATACGTATACGTATTTGTTTGATGTGCGTTGCCTATTTATGGCATTGTTTTGCGCCCGAAATGCAATCGCATTCCCTTACATTGAACGATCACGAACCGGAAATTCTTCATATACCGGATCTTCGGTTCACGTATTGATGTTTTCTTGGCTCTTTGTTTTTACACATTTCTTATTGCGCCCCCCGTCTCACATTCAATTTCGGAACAATTCCCGAAAATCAGAATTTTAAAAGAACAGACCTTTTTGTCTCGCCTTATGAATGACTCGCTTCTATCACAAACATTTTATGTGTATGAGCTCATTTATCGAACTATTCATCAACTTTAGTTTCAATGATCGTGTACACAATAAACATAGTACACTGTACATGATTTATATATTTGTGTGATGTATATTGTGCGCTGGCAATAGCCTGTGAGAGAATCGTTCGCTGGAGATAACGAAAAGTCAAAGTGAAACTGAGTCAAGCGAACGTACATAGAACCCTGTACAATAGCAACAAGAAATAACATACACATCGAAATAAAACCGCACACAAAAAAAAAACAGATTGAATACATGCTTTTGACTAAAAATACGATTCTAGCCGTCAAATCTTGATGTGTTATAAAATAAACGCATTTGTATTTGAATTGATTACGATTTTGGTTGGGCTATTTGTTTCTAGACATGTCTTGACCACCACTTGCAATGTTACTTATATTGTCAAGTGAAAGTATTCGAATTGATCGTTGGTTGGCCTTGTATGTTGTTGTGTATAACGAATAAAAAAAGAAGCGAGAAAAAAAGGTTTGTCTCTTCTCGTTCGTTGATTGTGTTTCGTCATATTTATTATGTGACTGATTTGACTATTCGTAACCATCATCGGTTGAGAGTATCAAAACAACTGTCATTTACGATTGAAAATAACGTGCTTGAGTTCAGTGGAGTGATCCGAAATAATGTAGACGGAATACAAAAAAAAAGAACTCTCATCTCAATCAAAAAGTCAATGTTCGTTTATGCTTTGCAAAATGGCATAACAATTTTTCGTTCTTCTATTACAACGTGTGTGTATTTGTTCGCATTCAAACAATAGACGATCAGTTTCATTTTTAACCAATACTCAGAGCAATCGAATTGACAATCAATTTATAATGCCGAACAGTTGTAAATATTTTAATGTTTAACCTACTGACATTTATTTTTGTTCTTTCATCGAAACGAAAAAATTATGTATTTTCTTGCCATGTTCTCAATTATATTTTATCACTTAAAATGTTTGCCCACTATCAAAATACATAACTAACCATGAATCTTATTTTTTTCTTCTTCTAAATTTTGCAGCAACAAGTAATACTGTAACATGCCCAGGACCAAATAATTTGCCACCGCTGCGATTCCATTATGTGCATGGTGATAATATTCGTATATCGCGCGATGGCACGCTCGCAAAACGCTTTGAAAGTTTTAATAAAGGTGTGACATTTAGTGACCGGCCGGTGAAACCAAATGAACGTGTTTTCATCAAATTTTCGGAAATTTCAAGCAATTGGAGCGGTGTTATTCGATTTGGATTCACATACAATGACCCCGTTACATTTAACGATTCGGCCACATCACGAAATACATTGCCAAAGTATGCATGCCCCGACCTAACAAACCGTCCTGGATTTTGGGCAAAAGCTCTAAACGAACGCTACTGTGAGCGTGATAATATTTTGTTTTACTACTTTACATCGTCGGGTGATGTTCATTTTGGCATAAATGGTGAAGAGAAGGGTATATTCTTTACAATTCCACCGCCACGCGAACCACTCTGGGCATTGGTTGATGTTTATGGGAATTGTTCGGCCATTGAATTTTTGGACTCACGTGTTTGCATGTATCAACATCGATCGGGCAGCCGGCAATCTGCACCATCATCAGCATCAAGTGAAGTTGAGATTGATCGAATTGTTCCACACATGCAATCGCTTTCAGTTAACGAAGATCATCGTCCAACGCTGGCACGTAGCCGATCTGGTAATTCGTTGCGTACATCAGTGACTGCCGTTCCATTTCATCGTACTCGCGGACGAAATGTTCAATTGTCACAGGATAAAATGATAGCCACACGTGTTGAAACTGAATTTTGTCAAGGTTATGTGTTTACCGCACGTCCAATTCGTATTGGTGAAAAATTAATTGTTCAAGTGTTACGCACCGAACCAATGTATGTGGGTGCATTGGCTTTGGGTCTTACGTCATGCGATCCAGCCACACTACAACCATCCGATTTACCAGATGATTCTGATTTACTATTAGATCGACCAGAATATTGGGTGGTTAGCAAAGATATTGCATCGAATCCAGTACGTGGTGATGAAATTATCTTTTCCATTTCACCAAATGGTGAAGTTCAAATCAGTAAAAATGATGGACCACCTACAGTTATAATGCATGTCGATCAAAGTCTTCAACTATGGGCATTTTTAGATGTATATGGTTCAACGCAATCGGTTCGTGTTCTAAGTCAAATGGCAACATCGCCACAATACCAAACTCCAATTTCCAATTCAACAACGATGCTTTCGATTCAACGACCAATTTCACAACGATATGCATCGCAAAATTTAACACCAACCGAATCAATTAGCAGTATTGAAGTGATGCCAGCACCGGCCGCACAAATAACACAATCAAGACGATCGATACCAGTTGCAGTATCAGCACAAACGAATCGTGTCATTTCAAGCAGTGATATGATTCAATTGCAATCGGGTGGCACGGTTTTAGTTGTCAATCTTCCGCCCGCTAGCAGTAACAATGATATTAGTGGTAATAGTCAAACACATCAACCGCAAATCACTCAAATGCCAATTCCACCACCAACCGCAGTCAATTCAGCTTCGATTACATACTCGTCCAATTATGTTGAGGTAAGCATTACAATTATTTGCCATTTTATTGTTTATCACATTTTAGCGGTCATTATTGCAAGTACTTATCGAACATTTTATTTTTTCATCTCTTTTACATAGACAAAACCAACAAAACCAACTTCAACACAACAGTACAGCCAATTATCACAATGGCAAGATGCGAATGCGGCCAATCTTGGACAAGGAAACGAATGCACCATTTGCTATGAGCATTCAATCGATTCGGTTCTATATACATGCGGTCACATGTGTATGTGCTATGAATGTGCTGTGAAACAATGGCATGGAATTGGTGGCGGTCATTGTCCACTTTGCCGAGCTGTTATTCGAGATGTTATCCGTATATACAAGTCATAAATTAATGAAAACCCTCAAAATGGAACACTTACCAAAAGAAAAATTCAAAATAACTAAATACAAATCTAAACGAACAAAAAAAACATTTAATAAAATACCAAAAAACATATAATAACTAAATTGAGAGATAGACAGAAAAAGAGAAAAATAATCATTATTGCAAAAAAACTGCACCGAAAATATCTAACGAATAACGAAATATTGTACTATTTAAGATTCGGTTGCATTTGCACACTTTTTTACCATTCGTATAGGATAGAAAATCAAAAGGAGAAAGAGAGAGATAAAAAAATACAACTTAAAGCAGTTTATTTGGATTCGCCTATTTGTATAAAACGAGAACGAACATAATAATATAATGGAAACATGTTATCGTATCATATTTAAAAAAAAAACGAACAATTTCGTATGACACATTAAGAAAAATTCCAATGAAACCAAACATTAAACATTTAATATCATTTGAAATGAATTAGGAATTAAAATATTTTGGTTCTGCAGAAATCCAATTTGGACAATGCACCTCACCAACAGAGTTGAGTGCTAACAAAATGGACCGAAAATAGCAACAACAGACAAAATACAATCAGCCTAAAACTGTACTTTATAAGCAAAATCGAAGTTAAAATAGAAATCATTTTCCGTCGTTAGGCATAAATAAAAACAAATTTCGTTTTCTTAATATGTAAATAAATAATAATTGTATTAAAATTGTATGGATATAGGCACTTAGTTCGCATTTTAGTCATTTCATTCAATTTAAAGCGTTTAAAATTTGCACAAAATTGGTGAAACAAAAATAAAAACCCATAAAATATTGACAAATACACACAAATCATTGTTAAATAATTTATCGAAAAAGAAAATTGAAACAGCCAATAAATATACTTTTTAATCGTCCAAAAATCGTAAGCCAAAAATCGATTTCGATTCAATGCTATATTTTAATCAAACTTAACAAATATATCACGGCTCGATATTAAACTGGAGCTTCATTTACTACTTATTATATCATTATTGACTGTTGTTTTCTTTCTTTTGTGCATATCTCAAAACATCGTAAGACAACAAAATCAATTATGCAATTACCGTCTTTACAAACAATTTCTACTAACTATTTTAACGATAATATACTTGATAGCTATTTATTAGATAAACTGGACACATTGCGAACAGAATTGTCTTTAATAAAAAAATATGTGGATCCATATGGATATCATGTGAATTTAAAAATGAAATTAAAACGTATTTTGTTTTTGTTGATTCAAATTTACAGGATTGTAAGCGGTTCGGTGAGTCAAACTGATCAAATTTGATTACAAAATAATGCGAAATATATCGCGCGAACGTGAAAATGGTCCGAATTGGAAATTCCGGGAAATTCTGCTGATGATGATAATCAATTCAGTTGATAAAATTTAAGATTGTTTTGATTACAAACATGTTGGTATTTGTGTTTTGTTTAAGACACTTTATTTCCTGGCAATTCTTGTTTATTGATTTTACTGGAAATACTCAATATTTTGCTAGTGTTGGATTTTTTTTTTGTGTTGAATTTTCGAATTATTATCAGAGTATTGAGAATATCGTTCATTTTTGTGGAAGTTTGTAGGACCCTCCCTGATGCCCATGTGAGATAATAATGTTGCACTTGTTAGACGCAGAGAAAAAGTGACTGAATCAAAAATATTCTTGGCATTCAGATGGAAAGGGTTGAATTAATGTTGAGGGAGTGGATTGAATTGACAGGGTGCTAACATTGATAAATGCTCACACCTTTCCGCCCCCCCCCCCTTTCTGAATTTTATTCACTTTTTCCATTAAAAACTCGCAGTTAATTACATTTGCATAGTGAGTTGAGCCAGTATAACACCTGAGTAATTGGAAGTGATATGCGTTTGTGAATTTTGCGATGAAATTGAAATGTGTCATTTGTCATTCAAATTTAATCAACACTTTGGAAACTTGTACCAATTTTGCTCAGCGTTGCATTGACGATGAGAAGATTGTCAGAAACCATTCGCAAAATGTCAAATTGTGATGATACGAAAAAAAAATGTGCTGATTTATTGTCATTTTTCTTTTGCTCTATTTATTCGGAATTTCAGTGCTTATTGAGTTTTATATTTCATAGAAATATTAAGCGAGCTTAAATCGTTTTTGAAGTGATGATGACATACATGATAAGGAATTCCTTTTGTTCAAAAAATCACAATAAAGATGCGGTATGATAACGGTTAAACATTGTACAACTTACATGTGACATCCTGCACCAAATGAATGCTTTACATAGTTCGTTGAAGTGTCCTGATACTTTATGATTGGAGAATGATTTCTAAAATGTTCTAGCTCGTTGTTGTTTTCGTCGTCGTTTTCGTTTTCATATATGTGATGGCGGTCAAGGTATTTAGTCTTTCTATCTCTCTCTCTTTCTCACGTTTAACAGATGAACGAAGCTTGAAAGAGGTCCGTATGTAAGTGGTTTTTCGTTTTTCTAATCTCGCTAGTTTGAAATCGATTTAACTTCAAAATCAACACAATCTCTCTTTATTTCTTTCTTTCTCTTTATCTGGAATTTGAAAAATACAAGTTATAACGTTCTATTCGGCATTATTAAGACGACAAACTATTTTCTCTTCATCATTTTCAGAAGGACAAAAGGTTAAATAGTTTGTACTTCAGAAATAAATTAAATTTTATCATGCTCAAAAAGTGAAAACAAAAACTAGCTAGTATGTGACATACCAATGTGAGTATATGCAAAGCATTGTTCGCTTCGATAAAACATTGAACAAAATATAAACAACTGAAGAAAAAAAATTGTTTACCTTTTATCGGCAATCGGTGGTGTAAATAACTTTGCTTGGCAACACTCACGCACTCACGCTCACTTGGTTGATATTGTCAATGTGAGCAATAATAGGCTCTGGCTGGATGATATTTTCGAATAATTAATATAAAATGGAGAAACCGAAATGTCATTACATGTCACATTCGGTATAGTTGAATTTAAATAAGTTATTATAGCCCTTGAACTTCTATAGCGTAAATACAAAATGATTAATATAGAAAAATTGTGAAGATGTTCACATTTAATCAATTATCCAGTAATTTGACGGACGAAATTGTCACATTCAATCAATAAAAGCGTTTATAAAATCACAAACAGATCGCAATACTCGTAAAATTGGCAAATTATTTGATATCGCTTATAGTGAATTGTGATTGTAATGATTCTATATTGTTTTCCGTGTTTATTTTTTAATTCAAAAATGAAAATAGAAAAATTGGCTTCTGTACTGAGCAAAACTGCGTTGTAGACTGAAGTCAAATTTTCCATTGCAATGTACCTCACATCGGGCACCGTGTGTATACAACGCGCGCTGTACTGTTGCTGTTCGGTGTTGATAAAATACGGAACAACACGGAAAAAAACCATACACACACACACACGATATGTTTTCACATAGCGAGAGCGCTTTTCTCCAGTTTTCCCAATCGAAACTTTCATCATTTCGTGTTCGCGTGTGCAAGATGATTGTATTCGTGTGTGTGGCTGTTGCAAACGGAGTTTTATGCGTGCTTTTGTATTGAATATGGAAAATGTTCCGTATGCTTTGACATCATGTACAGCTGATAGACCGAACTAAAAACGGTACTATATTATTATTATTACGGCATGAATTGTTTACGTTTATATTTCAAATCATCACAAAATCTTATAATCTATAGCCAAACCATTTTTCTCTCGCGTAGCGTGCAAGTGTCACAATCGTGAATTATCCCTGTTCATCAAATGCGATGTTCAGGCACAGAACAAATGAGAACAAAAAAACGCTGAAATCGTGATAGCACGTATAGTAATTTAATAGTTTTTGAAGAAGAAAAAAATGCATGCGACAGACACATCCCGATTTTATTTTTGGCGTGAATTCAAGGCATCCATATATTGTACGAACGTTGCATTCTCGTTGGTCGATTGAGCTGTGCCAAGGTGTGTATTTTTCTTTTTAATACTTTCATCACGTTTGTTTTCTACTTCGTAATCTTTATTAATCAAATTCGATTGCTCAATTATTCGTACGATTGCCAATTTAATTTCGAAGTTCCATGCATTTTACCGTCTGCACGTCGAGTTTGTTGTCACATGTGCTAGAAATATAATTGGGAATATTCACTTATTATACCATCGGAAATGAAATGGGAAATTGCAAATTCAACTTCGATAATATTGAAAATACAATTTATTCAATGACAGACGCATTTTGTGCGCTGAATCATTGGTAAAGACGTAATTTGATAATGTTTGGTTTTTGCATCAATCAATTTCGGTTAGTTGAAATTGGGGCCGCCATTTTGCCCACATCAATTTTTCGGTCATTATAAACAAAAAAGTAATTATCATGTACGCGCGACTCGAAAAGAAAAATAAACATTCAACAAATGTAAACTTAATGCTTTTTGCATTAGTTGGCTTTCAGCAACTATAGCCGTAGACTCAAATGTGAAAACATAATGAGTTTTTGTTGCTTCTATATTTTTTTTCTGGTTGTTCCAAACCACCTGTTCGTCTATCATCTATACCAAATGCACTTATGAATATGCCGAGCACGTATACAATATTGACAAATGCAACAATCTCAATGACTCTACCGAAAAATGAAAGGATAATCGAGACTAGAATATTTTCATTTTTTGCTTGTTTCCATAATTTAATGGAGTGCAGAGAGGTTCTCATTCATTTATATACATTATTCTTATCGCATTTTTTTTTTCGTTGAACAAAGTCGATGTGATGCAATTGCATTTTTTCGTGAAAATTGTGTTGAATGTTTCTATTTGAAGTCAAACTAATATTTGCATTGCATGTCTAAACTAAATGGTTTAAATGTCATGTACAACGTGTGCAACGTCGCATAGGTCATGTTCATCGATTGTTTGTTGTTTATTCCAGCCGAAATGCGTTGGCTGTGTGTTGAATTTATCCGACCGATGTGAACGACCGCCAATTTGACGTATAATTTCAGGCAATATTTTTTTTTTTCATTTCGTTTAAACCACCGTTGATTTATGAATATTTAATGAAATCCGTTTTTGCAGCAATTCCGTGCGTCCGGAAAATGCCCATTCGAAATTTAAAATAAACATGACTTTACATTGGTCGGGTAGCAAAACGATGCTTTATTGATTTCTAAGTTTGCACACGATGATGACGATGTTAATGTACATAATGTCAACAGGAAAAATGAGCCGAAAGAAGGAAAAAATCGACAATGGTCGACTGTCTGGAGCCAAGAAACCAAGTGCGATTCACATTAAATCGGTATTTTTGTTCTTTGTCGCTATTATTCAATTACAGCAAGAGCAAGGCTAAACAATGCGGCGTGCACATTATATCATTTTTATTTGCAATAAAACATTGCGTTCAAATGATTTTCTGGACACATTTGCCATTTTTCGATTCCATTTCAAGTTCAGAGTATGTAAACAACATGTTGTGAAGAGTATTAAAAACTGAATATGCACCAGATTTTTAATTCTGTTGAAAGTCGTCTTTATGGGTTTTCGAAGAAAAAAACGTTCATTTTTGAAATTCAAACGACAAATACATTCAAATTTTTACTAGAATCTATAGGCACACGAAGAAAATGAAGTAAAAACTAAAGAAGTTGGTGTCTATTTTTTTCTCACTTAAGAGAATGAAAACAATAGGAAGACTTGGAGGATATACTTTATGCGAATCATAAAGTATGTGTACACACAGCAATCTTAGACTTAAACTCATTCTATTCATTTACATGTGCTAATCTCTAAGAATTTTCAAATGAATGCGAGACACACATTTATGATGGACATATCTGCAGTGGGTAATTCATGTTCATCACGTAGCCAGCAGAAGATGACTGTACTCGGGTCGTATGACTATAAATTCAGGTATACGAACGACACCTACTCACACATAATGAACGTTTTAAATGCAAAAAATTTGTGCAAAGACAATTCGTTTATGTTGTTTTTTCGTACTTTCAAATTGTTCTGGTGATTATAAACAAAATGCTAAGCATGAATTTGTTTTAGTCGTATTCTGATCGTATAAGCATAAACTATACAGAGAGCCGAGTAAAAAGTATACTTTGTACAACAGCAAGTATTTTCTCTCAATAATTTTTAACCGTAAAATTCTAATCGAAATGTCGACATTATTGGTTGTACCATTGAAGCGAACCGTTGAATTGGATACGGTGGAACCGTTCATAAATCTATTCAACAATTCATACAATGGAAATAATTTAAATGCAATTGATTTTCCGTATGCCATAAGTGAGTTAAGTAAATTAAGAAATTTGGCCGTTGTTCGACCATGTATTAAATTGGAATCTCTGGACGTGATTTATAAGTAAGTTGAAACAAATAAAAGAGCATCGCATCAAATTCAACTGAAATTGTGTGTTAATAACTTTCATTCGATTCAATATCTATTTATTAGTTATTACGACCAATTATGTACGCTGGAATCAAAACTGCCGATGCATAAATTGCGAATTCCGTACAAGTGGAAAGATGCATTCGGTAAAAAAATGTTCAGAGGACGAAGCAGTTTAAGTGAGTTTTGGTTTTTCATGTTCATTATTTTTTTTTTATGACATAACATCCGCTCCATTTTTTTCATATTCAAATTAGCAATATCATCATTGGCTTATGAAAAGCGTTGTATTCTATTCAATATTGGTGCAATGCAGAGTGCAATCGCCGCAGCACAAGGAACGTATCGAGATGATGGCTTTAAATTGGCCACACAATTGTTACAACGTAGTGCTGGCATTTTTGCACATTTAAAAAACATCACCACGTGTTCCATTCCAGAAGAATTAACGCCCGATTCGAGCCCAGAAGTATTGCACGTTCTATCAAACTTGATGTTGGCACAGACTCAAGAGATTTTTGTATTAAAAGCGTTGAAACATGTGATGAAAGATTCAACGGTCGCTAAACTCGCAAATTCATGTCAAAAATTGTATGCAAAAGTTTTACGAAGCCTGGAAAAAGACTCAGTTAGTTCAATTTTGGAGAAAGATTGGCATGCAACCGTAAGAATATATTATAATATTGAAAACGAAAAAAAAAGCAACGGATAAAATGGCCCACTGTTATATCTCATATGAAATACATGGACAGGAACTGTATTCGTTGCTTGTACAATGTTTTACCTGCTAAAAGGCTAATTGGTTTTCTAACCTTTTCAGATTGGTGCAAAGCAAGCAGGATTTCATGCTATTTGTCAATTGTATCAGAGTTCTGTGTGTCGCAGCAACAAAACGATTGGTGAAGAAGTCGCTCGACTTCAATACGCTGTCAAACTATTCAAAGCGGCTCAATCGCGTTCGGGCAAATCGAATTTATACGAAGAGTTTGCATTACGTGCTCAACGTCATTTGACAGAATCAAAAAAAGACAATGATTTCATATATCACGCAAATGTTCCTGACATAAAATCACTTGAAGATGTTGAAGACGCACAACTAGCAAAAATTGAAGCATTTACTACGCCATTATCAACAAATTTAAAAGATCTATTTGTTCATTTGGTGCCGGTAGTTTTACACCGGGCAATTGTCGCATCAGACACACGCCGAAATGAGTTCACCAACGTTGAAATCATGAAATTGAACGAAGCAACGCAGAATTTGAATGGAAGTTTAGCGAATTTAAATTTACCGGCAGCCATCGAAGTGGCTGTTGACAGTACACTGCCGCGATCAATAAGAAATAAATTGAAAGACGTTCGTGAACGGGGCGGAATAACAAGTCTACGTTTATCAATGAATGAACTACCCAAATTATTGGAACGTAGCCAAACAATTTTAAACGAATGTGATCGCAAATTGAATGAAGAAGCGAGCGGTGATAAACGTTTGCGAATTCAATTGAAGGAAAAATGGACACGAATCGCATCCGAACAATTGACCAAAAATATTCGATTGAATATCGATAAATATCGTGTCATCATTCACAATGCCATCGCAGCGGACAATGTTATTCAAAAATTATTTGAAAAGCATGCAGATGGAATGGAAATGTTTTCAAAACCGTTATCTGAACTAGAAGAACAATGTCCACTTGGAAATGTAAATGCAAATTGCACTTCGGCTCAAAAGTTGCGCAAATTATTGAAGAAAGTGGATGCAATTAAAACTGAACGCGAAGCGATTGAATCCGAATTGAATTCGATTAAATTTGAAGATCAACACATGGACATGAGTTCCAGAAAGAATGATTCTATTACAAAGCGATTTTCTACATTACGCAAACGCGTTAATGAAAGTATTGCACGGCAAACCATTTTAATTGAACACATTAAAGTGGCTAGCAGTGAATTTGATAGAGAATGCGTCGGTAGATCTGAAGCACGTGATGCATTTCTTATTAAATTTGCAAAAATTTATGATTGCTTCATAACATTGCAAACGAATATAAAAGAAGGCAGGAAATTCTACAAAGATCTCATTTTTTTGCTTATCACGTTTGAACATAAGGTATCTGATTACTGTTGGGCGAGAAAAACCGAAAAATTCAATCTTTTGAAATCTTTGGCAAATCGATCGTAATAAACTCAATTATCAATCAAATCATCGAATCAAACATCGCATTGAAAACCAACATTTAATTAGTTTAAATAATTAAGATTACATATTATGTTTGGATAAATTAATAAAAAACGTTAATTAAATAAGGACATTGTATTTTTCTTGTACTATATTAAAATCAGTAATGTGCGAGCTACATTTTACAGGGGGAGGGGTGATTTTTCAAACACTAAAAATTATCTAATTTGAATAACAAATTTCGTTTTTTTTGCTCTTCACTCGTTTAGCGAAAATCCCCAGAAAATTCGAATAATTTCGGAGGAAAAAAATGTCTCGTCAATATCAGGGGGGGGGTGTAAACCCCCTTCGCATATTACTGATTAAAATCTATATAGAATTAGAGATGGTAAAATGAATCAAATCAGTTGATATAATTGAGAGAGACAATTGTTGTTGAAATTCCAAATTTGAAAAACGGGATATTATGTAATTATAATAATACAAGCATAATGATAAACTAAATCCATTCATACAAGCTAAACATTTTTTTTCTGTGAACGAACGAATGAGTGCTCATATAGTTTGTAAGGCTTTTGTTTGACTAACTTTGAAATGTTTTGATTATTGATTCGATTTTTATTCACTGCTGCAGATAATATAATATGAAAGAAACAAAAAGTATTATTAATTGAAAATGTTTGTTGTAAAGAAAGAAAGAGAGAGATAAGATAAGATTAATGCGCGCTCTTATTTTTGAATATTACTTTAACTGACCGATGCAATGTTGCCAATATAACAAACATAAAATATCGACTAACTAACCAACAACTGAATAATACAAACAAAATGCTTTGTCAACATATACAAAACACCGACTGATTCCCCATCACGTCATTCCTATTTCGAGTATATCGTCGCTTGGTAGGTGTTGAAAATTTCTCGTCTTTGTTATAAGCTCAATTGCATACACATTTCGTAAATAGTGAAACTCGAATTTCAAAAAATTGTTGCGAAAAAAGGCAGCAATCGGTGGTAAATAAAATCATTGTCATTCATTTGTCGAGTGTGATTTTTCTTTGATTTAGTCATTGGTGGTGCGTAAACAACAAAGGCGCAATTGACAGTGAAACAGTTGTAGAGTTATTTCCGATAAGAAACATTGCGAACGAGCGAAAATGTCAGAATTATTGGTTGTGCCTTTGAAAAAACCATCCGAAGTGGATGTTGTCAAGCCGCTAAAGAATTTAATACAAAGTTCGTATAGTGGCAATGATGCTGCGAATGCATCCGATCATTCGGAATCAATAAATGAGTTCAGCAAATTGAGAAATTCAGCCATTTGGAAAGCATTTGAAAAATACGAATCATCTTTGGACATTCTCTATGGGTATGTATGATTTCATTTATCGCATTCCATTTTTTTTTTTTTCAATAAGTTTGTGTTGTTGTTCTATTTGTCTGATGATTGGTGCTGCTTACCAAACTTGAAACAGTATTGCGATAATTGGTGTATGTGTGTGCGTGTGTTTTTTTCTTTGTAAAATTTTTTGTTGTTGCCATTTTACATTAATATTGTCGAACGATTACATCTTACGTGTTGGGTGCTACAGAATTGGAATGAGTCATGACGATTTACTCATTCACATACGACTGCTGACTCGCATACATACGCATAAATAAGTGACGAAATAACAAGAGAAAAAATACATACTTTTGTATTGGAATGCTGAAATCGGTGAATACTTTAACGAAATAGAAGAGAAAAAAAAACGAACAATTTGTATGATTCAATTCAGTCACTTCAATTTAAATGACAATATTTTATAAATGTATGCATCGTCATGAGTTTTGATGTTTGAAACAATATTTAGGCAATACACAACTACAGCTGAGCTTGGTTGTCAATGATTTATTTATGTTTATTTTGATATTCTTTGAATTGCAGCTACTATGATCAATTATGTTCTTTGGAGGCGAAAATTCCGGTTCATGAACTCCAAATTCCATTCAAATGGAAAGATGCATTTGACAAAGGATCCATTTTTGGGGGTCGAATCAGTTTGAGTAAGTGTTGTTTCTTTATTTATATTCATGACCTTTTCAGACCGTTTAAACTGCAAGATTCAAGTTTACAATCAACGTAAATTAATTTATACACAAATTGATGTTTGACTATTTTCTTTCATCGTTTCATAGCATTGACATCTCTAGCATACGAAAAAGAATGTGTTCTATTCAATATTGCGGCACTGCAAAGTGCTGTCGCTGCATCACAAAGTACCGATAGTGATGATGGTTTAAAAATGGCAACGAAACTATTGCAACAAGCGGCTGGAATTTTTGCTCATTTAAGAGGTGTTACACCGTTTGCTATTCCACAAGAACCAACACCCGATTTGAATCCAGAAACATTGCAAGTACTTTCGAATCTAATGTTGGCACAGGCCCAAGAAATTTTTGTGATGAAAGCCATCAAAGATAGCATGAAAGATTTAATTATTGCAAAATTGGCTTGTCAATGCGAAGAACTGTATGCCGAAGCATTGCGTGGCTTGCAAAAAGATTCACTCCGATCAATTTGGGATAAAGATTGGGTTGCAACGGTAAAATTGAAGACATCATTTTATGCATTTAAATTTTTCTTAAATTTTTGTTCTCTTTATTAGATTGCTGGCAAACAGGCTGGTTTCCATGCGATTACCCAATTTTATCAGAGTTTAGTATGTCGCAATAATAAAGCAGTTGGCGAAGAAATTGCACGATTACAAAATGCCGTCGAGCTATTCAAAGCGGCTCAATCGCGTTCGGGAAAACCAAGTTTGTATGAAGAATTTGCATCACGTGCTCAACGCCATTTAACCGAATCGAAAAAAGACAATGATTTCATTTACAATGAAATTATACCCGATGTTAAGACATTAGAAGGACCTGGTAAAGCTCAATTGGCAAAGGCATCAGCATTTACAACGCCATTGTCACCAAATTCAAAAGATTTATTCGCTGATCTGGTACCAGTTGCATTGCATCAAGCAATTTCTGCATCCGATGCACGTAAAAATGAGATTGTAAACGGCGAAGTGATGAGATTACGCGAATCAACACAAAATTTGAATGGCATTTTAGCAAGTCTAAATCTTCCAGCAGCTATTGAAATTACCAGTGGTAATGCATTGCCACAATCGGTATTGGATAAAGCAAAAGATATTCGAGAGAAGGGTGGCATCGAAAATTTACGCACATTGATCAACGATTTGCCCGAATCGTTGAAACGTAATCAGGAAATTTTGGACGAAAGTGATCGCATACTAAACGAAGAAGCCGAAGCCGATACCCGTTTACGTACACAATTCAAAGAAAAATGGACTCGTACACCATCCGATAAATTGACCGAAATGTTCCGTTCAAATGCGGCCAAATATCGTGAAATTATTCGGAATGCAACCACAGCCGATAAAACTGTTCGCGATACATTCGACAAGCATTCACACGGAATGGAATTACTCTCAAAGTCAGAGTCTGAATTGGAGAATGCGTGCCCAGTAAGCAGCGGTGGAAACATTTCAAATTGTCATTCGGTGCAGGAATTGCGAAAATTAATGGATAATGTTGATACAATTAAAGCCGAACGTGAAGTAATTGAATCCGAATTGAAATCGGCCACCGTCGATTTGAAAGAACAATTTTTGAGCGCATTGGCCCAAGACGGGGCAATCAATGAGCCAAACATTTCGATTGGAACGATTGGAAAGGCATTGGCACCATTGCGTGAACAAGTAAATGACAGCATTGCACGACAAGAGTCGTTAGTTCAACAAATTCAGAGCGCTCATCAAGCATTTGTGAACGAAACTGGCGGTGGATCGGGATCGCGTGACACATTTTTGAGTGAATTGGCCAGTGCATATGATGCATTTACAACGTTGCAAAATAATTTGAAAGAAGGCACAAAATTCTACAATGATTTGACACAATTGTTGATCACATTCCAGAACAAAGTGTCCGATTTCTGTTTTGCACGAAAAACCGAAAAAGACGAACTCATGAAATCATTGACAGAAGAATCGAGCCGAATGTCGTCCGCACCAAGCGGTCCACCAGTTCCATCGTATGGCGCAACTACTGGTAACATACTTAGCTATTTCGGTTTTAACAACTAACCAACCTGTCTGCATTAACTGCATCAATGTTTTTTTTTACTTTGCTTTGCTTAACGTGACAGTATACCTTAGAATAGCGATCATTGTTTAGATTTATTTTGTGTTTTATGCTTTGCTTTGTGCCGTCTAAATGTTGCATTGAGTTCAATTCGACTTATGTTTATTTGATGGCACCATTACATTAAATGTGTACTATATTTAAGGAGGATCATCAGCTCCGTCTCAACCACCAGCTCAACCGACTGGCTCCATACCGTATCCAAGCCAAATTCAAGGGATGCCAGTACCCTATCAGGCGACACCACAAGCTCCGTACCCAACTTATGTTGCGCCAATGCCGCAAAGTTTTAATCCGTATGCAACATTGCCATATCCAGCAAGTAAGTAGTCATTTGTTTAAAATCATTTGGTTTTCAATGAAATGAAATTTACAACTCATTTAATTTCAATCATAGATGCATACAACTACCAAAACTTCCCACAAGGTCCACAAAATTATGGTACGTATCCAGGATCATATGGTCAACAGCCCCAACAGCCAGGCGGCTACCCACATCCACCGCCACAAGGTTATCCACAAGCACCAAATTGGCCACCACAATAAGTGGAAAAGTACATTGCCATGCATTTGCCGCAGTACACGACAACACTTGTTATGGCCGTTTTTAATAAATACAATTTATACTAATAGCCACATGAACTTTTCTACACGCTACTAACACGTCAACGTCATAAAACAATTCGAATTAATTTTGCGGCATTCATTCTAAATGAAACTGTAACAAAAAAAAAATGCAATTTTAAATTAAATGAGTCGTTCATTGGTCACATTGTAAAATATCTTTCAGCTCACTATTCCTGAAAGTTTATTAGAGTATTTAAAGTGAAGCATGAAATTGAGTTATACGCAGCTATGATTATATGTTATCAAATTTATATGAATTATAAGTTCCACACTTCCAAGCAAATAAATAAACGTGCATTATGCATTGATTTTTGATGCGAACGTGTTTATTTGGAGACAACACTTAAATTATTCTAGATACATTCGCTGATTTTATTTTATACTCTTTCGTCATAGATAGTCATGAGAGAGAGAGAGAGAGAGAGAGAGAGAACAAAGGGCAATAAAAATATACAATTTGATATTAGTTTTGAATAGCTGTGTTATTCAATTTATTTTCAATAGATGTCACTCCAAATATTATTTCATTCAACTATGGTATTCTTCGGATTGTTTACTTTGAAAAAAGCGGAAAAAAGGAATTTTAAAACTTTATCTACCATAAATAATATTGAGTTTGGTATTGAAGAATATTACCATCCACGTAAATGTTAAATTCTGGATAATAGGCATAATGAAATTGTAACGCCATCTTGTGGTAATGAATATAATGAACAGAGTTTATTTCTTAAAAACTTTGAAAAAAAATATGTAAATAATAATTTAATCTTTATCTTTTTGATTTTTGGAATATGTTGTTTTACAACTTAAGATAAGATGGGTGCTTCTACAGTCAAAATATGTTTTGCGCTATCAAAGTCCGCTTTAACTTCACGAACATCAATATCAAATGGGAAAAATGAATCGAATAAGTAACCAACCCGTCGAGCTTCAAGAACGATTCGATCGCGTCCCAGATCCAAAGCGATTTCATCTTTAGCCATGACTTCAGGCAAAAAGAATTCAGCTACACACGACGACGATTTATCATTGGCTATTTTTTTGAAAAGACGATGTTGAACCAGCTTACGAGTTGTTTTGGCTGGAACACTCTTTGCATTTGTGGGTGATTTTGTTGTTCGCGGATCAATTTCGGTGATGAGATTTTTACGTTGACCATTAAATTCATCACTTTTGAACTCGTTAATCAGTGTTTTGTGATCTTTTGTTGGATTTTGATATGATTCGTAGACCTTTTGAACATCACGATTTTGAACACGATGCTTCACCAATGTGCCCATACATCTGCTATTTTTCAAAATGATCCATGTTTCGCGATTGATATCGATGTTATATTTCGAATGGAGTGCCTCAAATATGATGGTTATCAAGAAATCACGGAATATAATAATTGCCTCAACTTTACGAAAGAACAGCGGATGAATGGCAACATCACAAACAATGGCATCCTTGCCGGATTTATCGGGTGTTAAACGAAGTTCGGTGATGCTCATTGGAATTTTGTAGTTGCTTGGTGTTTCTGATGAGAGGATCATAGTAAGTTGATCAGCGCTGATGTCTTCAGGTGGCGGAATTCCATCCGATGTGCAAATGTTGACAAAGCATTTTTCATTATTGGTTTTGCGAAATGCTTTCACACACAAACCAGGATCCGGTTTTATAATTTTATACGGTTGTGATTTCTCCATTTCGGCTTCTGCTTTGACACCACCGCCAAACATTTCGTTCAAATTGTCTTCCAATTCATTGTGAACAATACGCAGTTGCGAATCAAGGTGTGATGTTTCGGCATCGAGAAAATTCAACGGTTTAACCATTTTGAAAGTATCAAGTTTTTTATAATTGTTGAATTCGATTCAATTACACCTTTATCTCAATCGCTTACAAAACACCTATTTCGAGCAAGCGTGATATTATGTTTTTACTTTCAATTTGCAATAAATTACACGATGACAATTATATTTTGGGATTCAATTTTATTAAACTTTGATTGCACACGATTAACGGTGTTTATGCCACAAATGTTTGCAACAGAATGAATACAATGTACAATATAGCCGTGTTTATTTTAACAACTGCGCAGCTGTCAACTCTGTCAACTGTCAATTCGCTCTATCCCATGCATCAATTCGCTCATGTAAATTGATTTGTTTTACATTTTTCTGCTGCTTTTTTATAATATCTACAAATATATTATTTCTTTTTCAAGAAATAAAATAGAAAAAAATCTGTTTGATCCTAGCGCACTCGTATCCATACATATTTGGATTTAATACATGGTCGAAGAACGGCGAAGTTTCTTAATTTGATTAACTCACTTATTGTATACGATATATCAATTGTATTTATATCATTTCCATGGAAATGCGTTGTTTGAATTATTGAATATATTTATGAACGGTCTCATAGTAACTAATTCACAGCTATTTGAATTTGTTAAAATCCATAAACTATTGGTGGAAAAAGTTTAACTTTTTATGGAAATTTCGAGTGTGTTACTTTTTTCTGAGTAATTTTCTAATGCGCGCAGACCAGACCAAATATTATTTAGTTTTTTCCTTTTTTGTCGTACAAAGGTTCAATTTCGATGAGAATAAAAATGCTGAAAAAAAGTAACACATTGAAAATTTCCATAAAAAAGTTAAAATAATTTTGTTTTAAACAGATTTAAATGGATTTTTTACAAAAAAATGTGGAACGCTTCATGCTTTTGCGTGTCATCCTTGCGCAGGGGCCATGCTAATCTTCTCTGTATCGTTCCAATTTTAGTATATGTTCTCCACAAGGGAGAACGAATATAAACAAACTCAAATCGCATATATACTTATTTATGGAAATTCGAAGTTTAGTGAATTATAATTTTTTCACAGATGAAAAAAGCCGAGACACAAACAACGCCATATGCTTAAGCATTGAGGTGTGCGTCTATGATGGTTTAGTTTGTGTTTATGCTTTGTTTTGGTTCGTTGATTGGAATAAACTTTATGTTCGATTGTTCATTCAATTGACTTGATTAAAAAAACATCAACTATATTTTTCAGTTTTTTTTTCACAAAATTACAATGAGTCAAATGTCCTTTTCTCTTCGAAAATTAATAATAACAAAAAAGAAAAGCAAAAAAATTAGTTCACGTCATGAGAGTAAAAAACAAAACAGTGACCATTCGAAACAAACACTCGAATTGAAGAGTTGAGACCATTATGAATATTTCCACATTTTTTTATTGTAAAAAGTCCATCGAAATTCATAAATTGTTGATAAAAAAATTAAACATTTTTATCATGTAAATTTCCATGTAGTTTGTCTAGAAAACATTTAAATACTTGAAATAAATGTTCATAACGAAAAACGTACTAGTAAAAAAAAGAAAAAAAATTCGGTTGGTTTCGAACCAACGACCATTCGAACGCACCAACTATTCGAATTCATAGCATTTACTTGCAAACTAAAAAAATAAATAAATAAAAGTCATTGCTAGGTTTCAAACTACGGTTTTTTATTTATGGAATCAAAAGAATATGATTGTTGTTTTTAAGTGAAGTTCTTGTTTTTACAGATTTTTGCTAACGAAGTGTAGATCAACTTTAACTGATGTAAACGACACAATATGAAAAAATGAAATCCTTAAAAATGAAAAGTTGATTGAAGTAGATATTTTCGATTGATGTAAGTTTGATGGCTGAGATGATATTTCCTTTTTGCTTCTTATTCTTGTCCGTTTATTTTTCCGTTCGATTTCCATTTTCCATGTCCCTTGTTCACTTGGCGTTGCCATTTTTCGAGTGTTTATTGATATCTTCAATTTCGGCCTCAAGTTTTTTCGTTGCCATTTTAATGTGCCAATTCTCTCTCACGATTTGCTTCGCACGATTTCTCGTTTCATTTTGTTGTTGTTCCATCATTTCATTGGTGAAGATTAAGTCTTCCATGATATCTTTCACCTTGTTTTTGGCAGAAAAGAATTTGATTTCCATTTTGATAAATTTACAATGAAATAGTTATCACAAACGATGCTTAATTTTTTTCCGGTAAAATTGGGCTGGAATTTATTATCAAAAATCAAAAATCTTATGTCTTCAACTTGAATAATCACAATTTACCACAAGTTAAAAATGAATTTGGAAAATTATTTTTATACAAGAAATTATCTCTCTGATTTAAGTTTTTCAGTTCTTTACCCGGTGAATGCTTGTTTGCAATTGATCTACGTAGCATCTTTTTCTGAGCATCCCTAGTCCTGATGTCTGCTAATTACTTAAATGGCTTAATGACACCTCATAATGAGGTAAGTATTGTCGCATTTGTTCAGTTTTCCGTTTGTTTGTTATTGATTTGTATGTAAAAAAGTGTTGTTTAAGGCAAAAAATCAAAGGTTCATTCACACAGTGTTACCAGAATTGTGAATATTCGAGTTGACATTGAAAATGAGAGGGTCTATTATTTCTTCTACGACAATTTTTCCTTCCAGCCACCGAACATCAAACTTACACCAATCGACAATATCTACTTTCTGTTCGGATAAAAGGGAAAAAAACACGCGAACTAATTTTGTGTGTTCGTATTTTTACAAAAAATGTTTATTTTTAATATTGCAGTGAGAAAACGTCAGAATTGTCATTACTTAATCTGATGATTGGAATAAACGCATTTTATTTAAAAAGAAAAATCGGGTAACATATTTAAAAA